GGATAGGATTACGCGCAGCAAAGAGTAACGCAGGTCAATCAGCCCAGCGGTTGCTGACTTACAAGCCTATTAAAAACGTTACAGGAATACGCTTCGCTAGCTCAAACGTAATAGAGTAGAATCATTTATATATGCAATTGCTACTATTTCCTGGTTTTCTTTATAGGCCAAGGCTTGGTAACTGATAACTCTGCTGCCCTGTAATGGGTCCGGCCCGCTGTGGCGAGTGAAGACACTCGCTCTGACTGACTGGACCGCCAGCCGAGACGCTGCTGACTCTGGTGGTGAATGGTGAGCGGAAGAGGAGAAAGTTTACGCCAAAGCTGAAGCAACTCTACATTGCTGTACAGCTAATACGCTTTTCACCTGGTGGCCAGTAGAGGAACTAACAGTTACTACAACTGACCGTCAGAAGCACCCAACACACACCGTGCCGCTCCCAGTAACATACCAGGATGTAGACCCCAGTCGGGCAGCGCTCCGGCGTCCGGCAGCCGCAGCTGGTCCAGCAGTGACAGCAGCCGGCCGGCGCTGCCCTCCGGCGCCGTCCGACAGGCGTTCACGGCCACCACCCTGACGAACAGACGTTACACGGTCAGCAGAGAGCCGACACTCGGTCAGCGGACAGTGGCGTTGGGTCACCGGATGGCAGAGCATCGCCGCAGCACACAGACCAGACAGGACTGTGCCGACAACGCAACCCCGTTGGAGTAACATGACCCTAATAAATGCACCGAAAATGCTCTGGTCTGTCTCCATTACTTATAATAATAAAAAATGAAAGAACAACTGAGATGAGGGAAAGGAGTGAGGCGTCTGTTAGGGTCCCCGTGCAATACGCCCGGTGCGGTGACTGAACTCTGCGCCGCTAGCTGGAGAGCTGGTTCACCCGGCTGACGACCTTCTGTACCTCCTCGGCGGAGAGCGGGTGGCCGTTGGTGGCCCGCCGCAGCCCGTCCCGGTAGCCGGCCGCCCCATCCGGCGGACACGCCCTGGGGAGTCATAGCATAACACTCAGGCAGGTTCAGGTTTCAGTCCGACACACAGAACCGTCCGGCGACACGCCCTGGGGGCGACACATGGGCGCGCTCAGGGCTCAGGTACAGGTCTCGCGAGATTAAGCGGTAGGTTTTGCACTTTTACATTTCCGGTTATATCTCAGAAACTAATCGATCTACGATGAAGCCATTTTACACGATCATGGCCGGCTTGTTACCCAACAAGTCGATCGCATCTTCAACACTTAAAAGCTTAAGAGGACGAAGATATAGCCTGAAGTACACTAAATTTTCTAGGTGCAAAACCTACCGCTAAAACCCGCGAGCCCTGTACCATGCACAAGGGCGCCGGGTGCAGTGTCTGTGTGTCCCTGACTGACCTGCAGCGGTGACGCTGTCACAGAAAGCACCTGTTCATTGCCCAATGGATCCAGCCCAGTTCCGGCCGGCCGAGTGCCCCCACGTACGCAGCCAGTGTTACAGTCTGTGTTCGATCTATGTTACGGTCTGTGTTCAATCTATTTTACGCCCTGTGTAACGACCTGCGTTACTGGCTTGTGTTACGGTCTGTGTTACATACCCTGTTCTGGGCGGTCTCCACCTTGACCCTCTTAGCGTCCCAGAGTCGGTATTGGTAGACGTGCGCGTTCTCTGCCGAGACGTCCCGCAGGTGAACGAGCAGGTTCTGTAGGCCGACCAGCGTCTCAGCTGGCACCTGAGAAGGTAGGAGAGGGTAGGGGAGGTCAGTGGTGTACTGGCGTCTGACATAGACCAGCGGACAGGGGGAGGGGAGAGGGAGAGGAGTCTGGTGGCGCAGAAGGACCGTTCCGCGCTTGAAAGTGGACATATCTGAGGACCGTTCCGCGCGCGCTGACACTGCCTCTAGAACCGTTCTGCGAGCAGTCAGACATGCAGACCGGATTGATGTTTTGAAACTTTGACATAATAAACTTTAATTAATTCGACACAGGTAGCCTAACCGCATGTGTTTTTTTATATCGCGGACAAAAAAGTGGGGATTGTTAGGGTTAAGCAGGGAGTCACCGATGTTAGATCCCTCTCTGGGTCCTTTCATAGGTCACGGTCCTGACCCGAGATAGCTGAGCTGTGTCGCAGCCCTGACCTCAGACAGCTGAGCTGTGCACGCCGTCGGCTCGGCCGTCGGTCGCCACAGCCGCTGACGCCAGTGTCCAAACAGCTCCAAACAATATCCGGCCCTGTATAGCAGGATAAGCCATCAGAGGCGGGAGTGATCAATGGAGGGACGCGAAACACTAACGCCAAGGGGATGACAACTGCTGAGGAATAAAGAAACTACATGAGATGATGTTTTTCGTACTCCAGCGTAGTACGAAAAACATCATCTCACGCTCTCAGTCCCAGCGGATAAAAACAACACCTAAGAAAGAAACTACATGCAGGTACACTGGGAACACGTCATGCTGGAGTTGACGTGTTCCCAGCCCGTCCTGTACCATGCAGCCCGTTCCGGTGATCACTCCCGCCTCTGATGGCTTATCCTGCTATACAGGGCCGGATATTGTTTGGAGCTATTTGGACACTGGCGTCAGCGGCTGTGGCGACTGACGGCCGAGCCGACGGCGTGCACATCTCAGCTGTCTGAGGTCAGGGCTGCGACACAGCTCAGCTATCTCGGGTCAGGACCGTGACCCCCTATGAAAAGACCCAGAGAGGGATCTAACATCGGTGACTCCCTGCTTAACCCTAACAATCCCTACTTTTTTCTCCGCGCTATAAAAAAACACATGCGAGTTATAAAAAAACACATCCCTATCAACCAGTCCCTATCAACCAGTTAATTAATTCGACACAGGTACTCTAACCGCATGTGTTTTTTATATCGCGGACAAAAAAGTGGGGATTGTTAGGGTTAAGCAGGGAATCACCGATGTTAGATCCCTCTCTGGGTCCTTTCATAGGTCACGGTCCTGACCCGAGATAGCTGAGCTGTGTCGCAGCCCTGACCTCAGACAGCTGAGCTGTGCACGCCGTCGGCTCGGCCGTCAGGCGCCACAGCCGCTGACGCAAGTGTCCAAACAGCTCCAAACAATATCCGGCCCTGTATAGCAGGATAAGCCATCAGAGGCGGGAGTGATCAATTGAGAGACGCGAAACACTAACGCCAAGGGGATGACAACTGCTGAGGAATAAAGAAACTACATGCAGGTACACTGGGAACACGTCATGCTGGAGTTGACATGTTCCCCGCACTGGCACTTATACTGATAGACCAGCCCAGCCTTCTCTTTGATCCCTAATTTGTCCTTGGGTTTGACGAGCCTAGCACTAAGGTTCGCTGCAGGTCTCGTGCTGACCTTCGCGTAGGGTCGGAGGACGCGCGTGACCTGTTCACTCACCCCCTGGATGTAAGGGATGCTTACATAAACCCGTTTGTCCTCCTCCTGTTCCCTGCCTACCCGTTCAGAACCACCACCCTCTCCCATGCGTAGTCGTTCTCTATTTTTTACCCGCCTGTGGATACGGCGCACCATTCGCTTTGGGTAGTGGTTCCTCACCAGTGCCCGTTCTATCTTCCCTGTCTCGCGTTCCTCGTCCTCAGGTGTTGTCGTGAGTCGTGATGCCCGTGTGAAAAGTGTCTGTGGGACTGATGCCTTGTGCTGTGAGCTGTGGTGTGATTCATAGTGAAGGTATTTGTCCGTATGAGTTGCTTTCCTGAACACCTCGGTCTTCATGGTCCCCCCTCCCAGTCTATGTACCTTTACATCCAAAAAAGGTAAGGATCCCTCCTTTTCCTCCTCGAGCGTGAATTCAATCCTCTCGTGCTGAGCGTTGAGGTGGTCGAGTAGTTCACCTACCTGATCTTTCTTTAAGATCACTGTTCGTGAGAATCGTTCAGTTCACCCGTTCGATACGGAAATGTTCGTGCGTGCTCGTGATCGTTCACTCGTTCTCTTTCGTCACCCGGAGGACCATAAAGTTATTGTTCATATAAGTAAAAGTCTATTCTTGAATGAAACGGAAACGATTAAAATGCACAAAATACGGCGGTCACAAATGCGGTTCACTGAATCGTTCTCGTAGGGCCACGTCGGCCGCGTCGTACGTAAGGCCACGTCGGCCACGTCGTGCACCGGGCCGTCGCGCACCGGTGGAGTCCCGTCGAAGACTGTCAGGCCCCCGTCCCGTCTCAGCCCTCGTGGTACGCACAACACGTGGGCATGAGAACCAGGACAGGGGCCAGATGACACATATGTGAGCGGCGTGGCGCGGCGGACCGACCGCCGCGCTCCGAGCGCCGGCCGTCTTTGCGAAGATATCAAAAATGCCTATTTGCTCGCTAACATAGCCGGCCCGGTTTTTCGCGATCATCCGCGGAAAATCCAACAACTAGCGAGCAATCGTTCAAGCGTCCCGTACGCACGCACACACTCGTAACGATCCGTTCAACATGCGCGATATACATAACTCACAGACAATGCACATTACGCACTACACAATGTCTGACTGAGGCAGGCATTATCCCCGCCAACAATCACCCAGTCATAAAACTGGTGACGGCGCGTTCTCGGCAGCCGGGCGCCGTCACACACTGACGCATGTCGTAAACTACACACGCTGGGCCGAAAGGCATCGGCGGCAGTGACATTGCCGTCACATGGCCGACACACAACAAACACCCATCACACAAAGTACAACACGACACACATTACGTTACCGAAGCGGCGAAGCGAACAAACGCGGACGTACAATAGCACTAACACGGTGCGTATCATAAACTAATATAACACTGCTAAGGTCGTAAACTACTAGCGCGTCCAAGAACTGTCACACGGCTCACAGCTGATAGCTAATGGCTGAACAGTGAACACTCAACACAAATGACCATTCGCAGCGGACAGAATGAGCGGCTCACTCTCTCACGCACACACACACACACGTTAGCACCGCGAATGGTGGGCGCAGGAAACACTAATAAACGCTCCGATCTCCACACTGCTTTACTGTCCGTCGCCGTCGCACTCAAGACGGCAGAGACGAGAGACAGGCCGCCTGTACTGGCCGGTATCAGTCGTCACGTCAACGGCGGGAATACGACCGCCCACACCAGGGTCACACACTCCGCTCATCTCACCGACCAATGTCCACGTGGTACGTTTACGTCGGTCAGTCGCACTAGTTCGCCAACCCTGACCTCGGTCGTGTCCATGATCGACATGCAGTGTGCGGTCGGCGTGCGCGGGGAGACACTCTCGCCGCCGGCGTCGCCAGGAGCGATCCTGCGGCTGCGTGTTCTTCCGCTTCCAGCGACGGCCACCGACTCTGAGCAGGCCGCCGGAGTCCATGAGGCAGGACGAAAAGTCACTGCCGTTTACGACCGGCTCCGCTCGCTCGGTGACGCACGCCGTCACCCTCGTCTCGTCGCCGGAGGGGGCGGCCGGGCCGGACCGCGCAGCTGGACCTCGTATCCACGGTCCGCCGGGGGCGAGGTCCGTCCCCGGGCCGCCTCTGCTGAAGATGTCGGCCGGGCCCGGCGGCTCGGCTGCGTGACACCACTGGGTCGTCTCTGATGATTCCTGGGTGTGAAGGTCAGCGACTGCACTCGTTTTATCGCTGACACGAACGTGATTGACAACGTGTTCACCATCGAGCACCGAGCGTTCCGACGCCCGCCCGGTCACCGTCCATCCCAACAGCGTCCTTACGGCGCACAGCGTTCCCGTCGGTCCCTCGATCACTTCCCGCGGCACAATAAGTTCGATGACGTCGGTTCCCAGGAGCACCTCCACTGGGCCGTGGGTGGCGCTGGGGAGATCCAGGTCGTCCAGGTGCGGCCATTTCTCCTTTGCCACTGTGCAGTCCATGGCCTTGGCTGACACGTTTAACGTCGGCGTCGTTTGGGCGTTTCGTATACGGTGTGCCCTGCCGTCGCCGCCCACAGCCTCGACGGCGAAGGATACGCGTCGTGACGTCGTCGTTTGGGTCCCACTCAGCGTACTCAGTACCAATTTGTCGGTGGGCCCCGAGATGCCGAGTCGGTCACACAGGTCGTCGGTGATCAGTGTGATCTGACTCCCGAGATCCAGGAGCGCGTTCGTGGTGCGGCTACCTGCCGGCCCGTTTACGGTGATGGGCACCACCTGTAGGAGAATATCACTGCGAGGCTCGGCCGATGCGGTGCCGACATGTTTGGCAGATGACGGCGTACCATCATCGGAATCGCGCAGCGGAAACACTCGTCCTCCATTGTGTAACAGCGTGTGATGACGCCTGCCGCAGTGCTCCGCGTCACATCGTGCATCACTGGGACACGTGGCGCTGATGTGATCGCGACCCAGGCAGTTAAAGCACAGTCCGTTTCTGCCGACGAACTCTGCCTTCTCACTCACAGTCAGCGCGAGAAATTCGTCACAGTGCTGGAGCTCGTGTGTTTGCTTACACATGGTACACCAGTCACTGTGTCCGTCCGCTGATGACTTTATGGCAGCTGTCCTCTCCCGCTTTACAGCCGCCGGCGTGGGCCGCGCCGACGCGGTGGTAAACACGCGTCTCGGACGGCACTCAGCGTCATTAGCCTCGACCTTCGGCAGCTGCTTGGTGGTCACGTTCAAGGCCAACCGACCAGCTGACACATGACGGCGAAGCCATTCGTCGAGATCGACGAGCGTCGGACGAGTGATGCCGTTTTCCACCATGTGCTCGCCCCACCTCCAGGCGAGGGAGGCTGGTAGCTTCCCAGTCACAGTGGTGACGTTCGTGGCGGCGGCAAGGTCGTGCTCGTAGTGCAAACACTGTAGGACGCTCACCGCGGTGTGGAGCTCACGAGACAGCTCTGTCAGCGCTGACAGATCGCCATCTTTCACCGGCCGCGCTGTGAGGAGTCTTTTCATCGTGGCGTGTATCACACGGGACGGGTCACCAAACTCTCGTTCCAGCTCACCCAGGGCGGTGCTGTAGAGACTGGCGTCGCAGAGCATGCCGCGCACAGACTCCTTTGCCGGCCCCGTCAGGTGAGTCTGCAGGTAGGTTAGCCGTTCCACGTCGGTGAGATCAGCGCGGTCGTGCACCAGCGCTTTGAAGAGGGCTATCCACCGCGGCCACTCGATGGCAGAGCCGCCGAACTTCTCCAGCGTAATGCGCGGCAGATGCGGGACCGCTCGGGTGTCGTCACTGGACGGGCGCTGCAGACGCATTGCAGGTGGAGGTAGAGTGCCGACAGGAGTCGTGTTCACCGGCGGTACGTGCAGCTGAGATTGAGCCAGCCACTGTCGGGTGCGCGTGACTGACTCGTCCATCTGTTGAGACACGCACACTCGTGCCAGTGGCTCTGTTGCAACCACCGGGAGACCAGCGACGGACGGTGGAGCGGACGAACGAGGCTGCGAGCCCCGCTCCTCCTGCTCTAGCAGCTCCAGCTCCAGCTGACAGCGCTCAGCTTCATCCTTCGCCGCCTGTGCCTCCAGGGCTGCCTCCGCCTCTGCCAGACGCCGGGCCAGCTCAGCCTTGGCCGCGGCCGCGCGCTGGGTTTGATCCGCCTGGAGCTTGCTTAGCGCAGCTCGGCGGCGGGCTTCACTGAGGCCGGAGGACGCCGTGCTGAAGCTCGCCTCACTCCTCGTGTGGTACGAGCTCCGGCGGCTTTGATGTGATTTCGCATCACTGGCATGTCGTGACCGCTTGTCAGACATTGTACTCACAGTTCACAACACCGCGTCGTCACTGTAAATCCATCACACTAGTTCACTGATATCCGGCCCGGAGGACCAGAATGTTCGTGAGAATCGTTCAGTTCACCCGTTCGATACGGAAATGTTCGTGCGTGCTCGTGATCGTTCACTCGTTCTCTTTCGTCACCCGGAGGACCATAAAGTTATTGTTCATATAAGTAAAAGTCTATTCTTGAATGAAACGGAAACGATTAAAATGCACAAAATACGGCGGTCACAAATGCGGTTCACTGAATCGTTCTCGTAGGGCCACGTCGGCCGCGTCGTACGTAAGGCCACGTCGGCCACGTCGTGCACCGGGCCGTCGCGCACCGGTGGAGTCCCGTCGAAGACTGTCAGGCCCCCGTCCCGTCTCAGCCCTCGTGGTACGCACAACACGTGGGCATGAGAACCAGGACAGGGGCCAGATGACACATATGTGAGCGGCGTGGCGCGGCGGACCGACCGCCGCGCTCCGAGCGCCGGCCGTCTTTGCGAAGATATCAAAAATGCCTATTTGCTCGCTAACAATCACGAACGTGTCATCTACGTAGCGTCTCCACAGTTTCACTGGGTGTGGAAACGACTGGAGTGCACTGGATTCGAACGATTCCATGAACAAGTTGGCCACCACAACGCTCACTGGACTCCCCGAGTCCCCATGGCCCTGCCCCACTTTTGCTTAAAGAACTTTCCGTTAACCCTAAAGTAAGTAGTACCCAAACAGAGCCGTAACAATTTTATGATATCCTCGACCTCCAGTGCTGTTTCCGCTCTTACCTTGCTTTCCTCATCCAAAAACTCTTCTTCGAGTCTCTGGCGTGCTACTTCACATCCTGCCTCTGTCGGTACCGATGTGAACAGCGCTTTGACGTCAAAAGAAACCATGGTCTCATCGTCACTGAGCGTAACATCTCGTAAACTCTCTTTGAAACTCGCCGTGTCCTTGACATGATGTTCAGACTTGCCTACCAGAGGAGATAATATGCTAGCTAAATGTTTGGACAGCTGGTACGTTACACTGCCTATGCTAGACACGATGGGACGTAGCGGAACGCCCTGCTTGTGCACCTTCGGTAGCCCATAAAGCAATGGCGGAGTCGGGTCCGACGGGTACAGTTTTAGATACGTTTTTCTGTCCAATTTGCCCTGTTGTTCTAAGTCCTTTAGCGCCCCCCTTACCTCTCGTGTGTACCTACCGGTTGGGTCCCTATCCAGTTCAGTGTACGTGTCGTGATCCCCTATTAGTGTTTCTAACCTACTTTGATACTGCTCACAGGTCATCACACATACAGATCTACCCTTATCTGCAGGTAAAATCATAATATCTTGCCTATCTTGTAGGTCACGTAACGCTTTCCACTCCCCCTTACTGAGATTTTTGCTTTGCGGGGGACGGAAGGAATTGAGAGCTTTGGTGACCTCGAATCTAAGCCTATTCGCTACATCCGGTGTTACATCGTCTGAACGGCACACACTTTCGACCGCCGAAACAAAATCCGCGACTGGAACGCTTGTCGGCGTCGGTACAAAATTGAGCCCTTTACGTAGCACACTGACCTCATCGTCACTTAGGCTTACCCCAGACAGATTGACCACCCACTTATCTCCATTGTCCTCCCCCTGTCCACCAGTCTCCTCCTGCTCACCGGTCTCCTGTCTGTCCTCCTGCTTACCAGTCTCCTGGCCACCGGTCTCCTGCTCACTGGTCGTGAGCAGGATACATACCTCGTGGTGGTATGTATTTTGGTAGGTGTTTGAGACGTTTGAGACGTATTGTCTTGTATTTTAATGCATTTTAAAGCACGGCTGACGAAGGGAGCAGAAGCTTCCGAAAGCTACCGAATCAATATACGCATTACTGGTGTCGAAGAATTGGTTCCTAAATAAACAACTCTACATTGCTGTACAGCTAATACGCTTTTCACCTGGTGGCCAGTAGAGGAACTAACAGTTACTACAACTGACCGTCAGAAGCACCCAACACACACCGTGCCGCTCCCAGTAACATACCAGGATGTAGACCCCAGTCGGGCAGCGCTCCGGCGTCCGGTAGTCGCAGCTGGTCCAGCAGTGACAGCAGCCGGTCGGCGCTGCCCTCCGGCGCCGTCCGACAGGCGTTCACGGCCACCACCCTGACGGACAGACGTTACACGGTCAGCAAAGAGCCGACATTCGGTCAGCGGACAGTGGCGTTGGGTCACCGGATGGCAGAGCATCGCCGCAGCACACAGACCAGACAGGACTGTGCCGACAACGCAACCCCGTTGGAGTAACATGACCCTAATAAATGCACCGATAATGCTCTGGTCTATCTCCATTATTTATAATAATAAAAAAATGAAAGAACAACTGAGATGAGGGAAAGGAGTGAGGCGTCTGTTAGGGTCCCCGTGCAATACGCCCGGTGCGGTGACTGACCTCTGCGCCGCTAGCTGGAGAGCTGGTTCACCCGGCTGACGACCTTCTGTACCTCCTCGGCGGAGAGCGGGTGGCCGTTGGTGGTCCACCGCAGCCCGTCCCGGTAGCCGGCCGCCCCATCCGGCGACACGCCCTGGGGAGTCATAGCATAACACTCAGGCAGGTTCAGGTTTCAGTCCGACACACAGAACCGTCCGGCGACACGCCCTGGGGGCGACACATGGCCGCGCTCAGGGCTCAGGTACAGGTCTCGCGAGATTAAGCGGTAGGTTTTGCACTTTTACATTTCCGGTTATATCTCAGAAACTAATCGATCTACGATGAAGCCATTTTACACGATCATGGCCGGCTTGTTACCCAACAAGTCGATCGCATCTTCAACACTTAAAAGCTTAAGACGACGAAGATATAACCTAAAGTACACTAAATTTTCTAGGTGCAAAACCTACCGCTAAAACCCGCGAGCCCTGTACCATGCACAAGGGCGCCGGGTGCAGTGTCTGTGTGTCCCTGACTGACCTGCAGCTGTGACGCTGTCACAGAAAGCACCTGTTCATTGCCCAATGGATCCAGCCCAGTTCCGGCCGGCCGAGTGCCCGCACGTACGCAGCCAGTGTTACGGTCTGTGTTCGATCTATGTTACGGTCTGTGTTCAATCTATTTTACGCCCTGTGTAACGACCTGCGTTACGGCTTGTGTTACGGTCTGTGTTACATACCCTGTTCTGGGCGGTCTCCACCTTGACCCTCTTAGCGTCCCAGAGTCGGTACTGGTAGACGTGCGCGTTCTCTGCCGAGACGTCCCGCAGGTGAACGAGCAGGTTCTGTAGGCCGACCAGCGTCTCAGCTGGCACCTGAGAAGGTCAGGGGAGGGTAGGGGAGGTCAGTGGTGTACTGGTGTCTGACATAGACCAGCGGACAGGGGGGAGGGGAGAGGGAGAGGAGTCTGGTGGCGCAGTAGGACCGTTCCGCGCTTGAAAGTGGACACATCTGAGGACCGTTCCGCGCGCGCTGACACTGCCTCTAGAACCGTTCTGCGAGCAGTCAGACATGCAGACCGGATTGATGTTTTGAAACTTTGACATAATAAACTTTAATTAATTCGACACAGGTAGCCTAACCGCATGTGTTTTTTTATATCGCGGACAAAAAAGTGGGGATTTTTAGGGTTAAGCAGGGAGTCACCGATGTTAGATCCCTCTCTGGGTCCTTTCATAGGTCACGGTCCTGACCCGAGATAGCTGAGCTGTGTCGCAGCCCTGACCTCAGACAGCTGAGCTGTGCACGCCGTCGGCTCGGCCGTCAGTCGCCACAGCCGCTGACGCCAGTGTCCAAACAGCTCCAAACAATATCCGGCCCTGTATAGCAGGATAAGCCATCAGAGGCAGGAGTGATCAATGGAGGGACGCGAAACACTAACGCCAAGGGGATGACAACTGCTGAGGAATAAAGAAACTACATGCAGGTACACTGGGAACACGTCATGCTGGAGTTGACGTGTTCCCAGCCCGTCCTGTACCATGCAGCCCGTTCCGGTGATCACTCCCGCAGGGCCGGATATTGTTGGGAGCTGTTTGGACACTGGCGTCAGCGGCTGTGGCGACTGACGGCCGAGCCGACGGCGTGCACAGCTCAGCTGTCTGAGGTCAGGGCTGCGACACAGCTCAGCTATCTCGGGTCAGGACCGTGACCCCCTATGAAAAGACCCAGAGAGGGATCTAACATCGGTGAGTCCCTGCTTAACCCTAACAATCCCTACTTTTTTCTCCGCGCTATCAAAAAACACATGCGAGTTATAAAAAACACATCCCTATCAACCAGTCCCAAACAGTGTACCAAATTTGAGCGCAATCGGCGTGGCAGTTCAGGGTTCAAGATATATGAGCAACCCAAAATCGCTACTGCAGCAGAATAACGAACACTCTTGGCCCTTCACGTCGCACGTGTCACGACGCTCACCATGATACATCAGTTGTAGTCAATAACTCACCAAGATACATCAGTTGTAGTCAATAACGAGATGGAAGGGATAGGATTACGCGCAACAAAGAGTAACGCAGGTCAATCAGCCCAGCGGTTGCTGACTTACAAGCCTATTAAAAACGTTACAGGAATACGCTTCGCTAGCTCAAACGTAATAGAGTAGAATCATTACATATATGCAATCTATCTTACCAGTATAACGCCTTTTGGGGCGACTAACGGAGCGAGCGAGAGGGTGGGCCTTGCACGTGCGAAATTGCGAGGGGGTACCTCCAACTGACTTTTGCACGGCACCCTACTAACTGGTCTCTAGCGATGTGCCAGATTTGGGCACAATCGGCCCAGCCGTTCTCGAGATCTGGAAGCGGCACCCTGCACGTGCGCACGTGCAAAATGGGTCCCAACTGACTTGTGCACGGCACCCCACTAACCTGTCCCTAACCGTGTACCAAATTTGAGCGCAATCGGTCCAGCCGTTCCCGAGATCTGGAAACGACCCCTGCACGTGCGCACGTGCAGCAGCACCCCAACTCTGGCACATGGATATGCAGTGCCTAGTGGGTGCCTACCTACATGCCA